TAAAAGCTTGCAAGCGGCCATCTAAGATGCATCAATTGGTCCCAACCACCTGGAGTAAAGGAGAATGAAGAACACCAAAGACACAAGGGAAGTATCAGCCCAAGAGGCAGAAAGGGCCACATAAACCAGAGACTGCATCAGCCTGAGACCAGAAGAGGTGCCCAGCTACCACCGACGACTGCCCTGACAGGGAACACAACAGAGAGTCCCAGATGGAGCAGGAGAAAGGTGGGGTGCAGAACTCAAATTCTTGTAAGAAGACCAGACTTAACGGTCTGACTGAGACTGGAGGAACCCCAGAAAGCTTGGCCCCTGGATTCTCTATCAGCCCAGAACTAAAACAATTTCCAAGGTCAACTCTTCAGTCAGGGATTGGACTGGACTGTGGGACATAAAGTGATACTCGTGAGAAGTGTGCCTCTTAGCTCAAGTATATACAAGAGACTAAATGGGCAGCTTCTGTGAAGGCAGAGAGGGTTAGGAGCTAGTTGAATGGACATGGGGAATCGGGTAGAAAGGAGTGTGCTGTCACAGTATGGGGAGAGCAATTAGGGTCACATAACTGTGTATAAATTTTTGTATGGGAAAAAATTAAAAAATTTTTTAAAAAGAAAAAAAAAATTAAACATAGAACTACCATGTGACCCAGGAATTCCACTCCTAGGTATATACCAGAGACTTGAAAGCAGTGATGCAGACACATATACACCAGTGTCCATTGCAGCACTATTCACAATAGCCAAAGGTGGAAACAACCTAAATGTCCAACAGTAGGAAACTTGTTCAATAAATTGTGGTATATTCCTATAAGGGACCTTTAAAGATGAGTGATATTTGTTGACATGTAAAGAAGTTCACAACCTATCAGTGAATGAAACATGCAGATTACAGAAGGGCAGGTATGTAAAATTACATACACAAGGAAGGTCAACAAAAATGTTCATAGTGGTCATCTATGAGTGGTGACATTTCAGCAGTTTAGGTGACTTTTAAAATTTCTTAATATTTTTCTGAATGGTATAAATTATTACAGTATTTTCCCCTAATGAACATAGATCATTAATACAAAAGCAATATAAAGCTAGTTTTAAAAGGCAAAACAAAAGATTTCTGACGAAGTGGACAAGAAAATATGTTTATTATTTTACAAATTAATAATTTATGATGTAAAGAATAACTTACGTTGTTTTTACTTTAGCGGGATTTAAAGATCCAGCTCTCTATACTTCCTGGTTAGAGCCTGATAATGCTTTCAACGTATGGAAAACTCAGCGAGCCTTCAACAAATATGAGAAGTCTGCAGCATTGGTCAGCAATAGCCAGTTCTTAGTAAAACCACTTGATGTGATTGTGGGCAAAGCATGGAATATGTTTGCTTCAAAGTAAGTCAAGTATCAGTCTACAACCCTCTCTAAGCCTAGGCAGACAATAGAGGATAAACATGAAGCAGGAGGTGGAGTAAGCATGGCTCCCACTTGATAGGTGTGAATCCTTGGGCATGTTAACTTAGGCCATGTTTCTTCCTCTGTACAAGGGGTTCTAAGAAAGACTATGTGGTGGGGATTCAATGAGGTAAAAATGTAAAAACACCTAGTACAGTGCCTGACCAGTAAATGCTTGATCCTTGCATAGCATTGTTATTACTAATAATTATATTGATATTTTAGTAGTAGTAGTAATAGTAAACGGGTAGTTTCTAAGTGAAATGAAATTAAAGCAGAAATTTCATTATAAGGCAGGGACAATAAGTTTTCCAAAATAAGATCCTTGGGAGAGTGGAAAAGCTCCTGATCTTGCTCAGTAAGAAATCTGGTAAGTTCAACTCCACTTGATACTAAGAAATGTTTTATCAGATTTCTTGACCTGTACCACAATCATTTGATGTCAAAACAAAACTCCTAAAATGACTGGATGGGGCCTCAACTTTATTTAGCTGGGATTCCCGAGGGCTCAGCCATCCTGCACGCACACATCCCCACTTTCTGGCATAATGCTGTCCCCACTCTCATTAAATGGTAGCAGTAGCCATTATTATATGGATTTAATTCATGTCTGCCCTTGATATTCTTTTTAACATGATTTCTCCTGTCTCCTTTAATCAATACTACTAGTTCTAATAATAAATTTTGAGGGGAAAATTGAAAGAATCATCCTGACATGTCTACCAAGTAAGTACTGTCTGAAAAGCACTTGGAAGGCTTCACTACATTCCTAGAATTGCGTTGATTTGTTTCCAAAGCACAGTTCCAAGCCTTAGATAAAACTTCTCAGGCACCTTTTAGGGTTTGCATTGAATCCAGTCATCTCCTATACAGTGTTGAATATGTGCTGGGTCTACAACCAAATCCAAACATGCTTCTTTTCCCTGTGTGCCTCCATTGTGACTCTCTTGGACACTAAAGGGACAGGAAGCTTAAAAAACTTTGAAAGTTTGCTAATCTTTGGAGTAAACAATGAAGCAAATGTAAGACCCTTAAGAGATTCTGCAATCTTCAAATACTCATGAGCTAGCAAAAGACTATTTATTGCTGGATTTTAAGAGTTATTAATTCACTTGAGATTTTTTTGTTTTACGTTTTCTGTTTTTTCACCAGAGCCTACATTCATCAGTACACAAAATTTGGAATTGAAGAAGAGGACTTTTTGGACAGTTTCACATTGTTAGAGCAGGTCATTACCAGTTACTATAACCTCTGATCTTGAACAAAAGGGAAAAGTTACCTTAAAGCGTTTTTGGACTAAATTATTTTCAATACTACTATGTCTGTAAGGTTTTCAAAATCTTATCTGTTAAAGTAACAAAGTGGAATGCTGATTTCATTTTGCATACAGTACCCAAAGAAAAGGAGGAAAACCTTTTAAGTGGAGGATAGCATGTTTTCATGAAAACATCTACTTATACTTCATTTTTAAGAAAAAAAATTGGTGCTTTTATAAAGAACGTTAGAAACACTTTGCTTAGATGTTGGGACTCGAACTATCCAAGAAAAGGGCATATTCTCTTTTATCCTCATGTTCCTAAATCTTTCCTCTTTACTCCAAAGAAGAGTCACTAAATATGAGCTAAACTTTCACAGCACAATTTAAAGCTAAGAAATTTCAATTCTGTACTTAAACATATTCATCTTTGAAGTGAATGCTTTGAACCACAAGAGGGAGCTGTTGTCAAATGCTAAAGGGTGAACATCCATTTTGAACATTTATAATTCTAACCATAACAGAGTAAGATTTTTCCATTTAAGCAGCTATTTAAAAATGAATGTCAGGATTTTGGTAATAAATGCATATCATGCTTAAATTCAAAAGGGACTAAAGTTTTACTTTGTTTGCTTTTCTTAAATTTTCTGGGCATCAGCAAATTGGGACAAGTTTTCTTTTAGATCTTGGAATGCCAGAGCAGAAATTGATCGTATTCAACTATTGTTTTAAAATGACTTGTAGGTGTTTAGGTGATTTGGAAGATCGTTATGTTTTTGTAGTGAAGCTGTCAGCCAAATTTCACTAAGTTGAGAAAATCATCACCAAGGAAATGTAGTGCTTGAAACTGACACACAGATGCGGGTTTGACTCAAAAGGACAAAACACACTTGGAAACTGGCAACTGAGTTTGAGGGGAAACGATGTACTTCAATAAAACACATCACATGCAATGTATTAACAAATGTAAAACGGTCAACGCATAGGAACATTTGCCCTTTCTGCCAAATCTACCAGTAGTGACTTTTATTTTTATATGGAAAAATGACAGTTCACAGCTTCACTGGTTTCTTCTTTTTCATTCCATATGGAAATGATTACCTTTTTGCTGTTTTTGTTATCAACTGTTGCTATGATTTAAAATACTGAACCATATCTTATTTCTAAGGAATGCAAAAAGTGGTCTGTTCAGCTGCTAAAAGGCACACCCCACTGCATTTTGTTAACCCAAGTATACTTGAAAAATAATAAGATCATGATTTTTACAAAACAAAGTTTAAAGTAGTTGTTTAGCATTGAAGAGACCCAAAAACTGAAACAATTTCCCAGACTAAACTAGTGTAAATGAAGATCTATAACTAAATTCTCTCCATAGGAGTTAAGCTGATTCTAAGGAACTTTGCTAGAAGGGTAGTTTCAAGAAAGTTGTAAGTTGAAATCATTTGAGAAGGGGATTCATGAACTAACAACAAGGACAAGTATATTTGTAGTTTGTCAATTCAAGGGATCAACTGCAGGTTAACATTAGCAGTAAACCCCAGTTTAGACAGAGCTCTAGGTCTGTTCTTTATGGAAGTTTGACTCCTTTTTGTGATCCACAGCTGCATTATTTGATTTGTGTGATGCTTAAATAGTTGCAAGCTTGTTTTAAACATTTACATGGAAAATTTTTTTTTTCTTGTCTATTTGGAATAATAGAAAGTTTTTGCTATGAGAGTAGTAATTTTAAGTTAAAAATTTACACAAGGTAGCCAACACCAAAGCTTCAGGATATGGGGTGGCATTGGAAATCTACTTTGTGTGGAGACAATGGCCAATTGGTCAAGACAACATAGAATCATAAGCTTCCAGGTAGACAGATCCCAGAAAACTCTGAAAATGTAATTTCTTAAACTGCTGGGTAACTAGCATACTATGCTGTCCCTCAAACATGATCCCCTAGACACAAGATACACCTCTGTAGGCAGTGAGTGCAGCACAAACTCAAACTGCTTCTAATGTTGAAGCTTTTTAAATCACCCTTCTCTGCCTCTCTTTTTTTCAAATGGCTCCTGTTTATGCTTTCTTAAAGAGTTCTTTACTGAAAGCTGTAGACCCTGTTTCTTATTCATTTCTTCTTCTAGCTTTGGACTTTTTCTTCCCTATTATCCAGTCAATCTGCAACATCTTTCTTTTTTAACCCTTTACTTATGATTCACTAAGTGTACCGATAATTCAGTTAACCAGTTCATTCATTCCACCAATATCTGTTCAATACCTAGTATACACCAGGCACTGAGTGAGGTGATGAATACCATATAGTCTAAATGAAGAAGCTTACAATGTAGTTTATAAGTTTCTTTGAATGTTCGATGCTACAATTCTGGCTTCCTAATTATTGCTTAATGTGGCCATATCCATATTCAACTTTTTACAGCAAAGAATATGGTCCAAGAGAAATAATTTTATTGGGAGCTCTAGTCTTGGCTTCAAATTTGTCTGAAACATCTCCTTACTTCCTCTGTAGACTTTATTTTGCAGTGTACATACCAGTGATTTTTCTCCTGACCACCATGTTTATCACACTTGAATTTCAGTCCAAAATTTTGTTTTAAAACATGCTCCATATGTTCCTATCCTGCTCTTATCTCCCCATGAGCCCAAGGTTTGGCAGTCAGTTCCTTTCTGATTCTGCCACCTATCTTCCAAATATGGCTTTCCCACTAACATCTCATTTTTGGTAAACAGTCATTTAAGAGACAGTTGCTCATCTGTATCAATCACATTGTTTCCTATGGGTTTTAGGAATGTGAGCTGGATGGAAACTCTGGCTTTACATTTTTAACTAAATAACTTCCTGCTCCTAAACCCTGAAATGTCTCAGAGGATGCACTGTCAGCCATATTAATAGATGGAATCCTATTCTGCAAGCAGGAATGCTTGCACAAGAAGTTAAGATAAACAATGTAAATATTTCAAGTTTCTGGGAAGCACAGTGTTGGGTCAGTGTAGGAGACAATATGGCATCCACGCTATGGGAAAGAAGGAAAAAAAGAGTCCCAATCATTTAGAGAGTGAGTAAAGCAGGAAGAGAAGAAAAGGAAAGTGGGGGAACCGATGATGTCACCAAAGAACTGCCAAGTAACTTACAAGGATTTCAGAAAAAGACTTGGTTTTTAAATTAGTGATTTTACCTAATGATGAAAAATCTAAGACTAATTTACAAGAATAACTTAAAAAGAAACAGTAAGCTAAATTATGTGCCATCCGAATTTACCTTTGCCAATGTCAATATGATTGATACTTTATGGCTCTCCTGTCCTATTTGGATTTAATTATTTACACAGTGTGAGTACACGAAGATTCTATACCCGTGCTGTCCAATTAGGTAGCCCCTGGCCACATACGGCTATTGAGCACTTGATATGTGGTTAATCCAAATTGAGAAGTACTGTAACACGCACTGGATTTTAAAGATTTAGTATGAATAAAAGAATTTAAATCTCTCATTAATATATTTTTTGTATTGATTGCAGGCTGAAATTATATTTTAGACATTAGTGAAATAAATTCTTCAAATTAATTTTATTTATTCAAATTAATTTTACTTTTCAAAGGTGACTACTAAAATTTTTAGATTTGTGGCTTTCTGCTGAACCTAGACATTTCAGGGGCAATGTCCTCCTGGGAATTATAGAAACTGGAGTTGAAGAAAAGCTTGTCCTTACTAGGTGAGAGGTCATGAGAACATGATTGTAAGAAACATGACATGAAGTAAAAGATGGGAGTTTCCTTTTTGAAGAAAAGGGGGCTGTTACGGATTGAATTCTGTCCTCCCCAAAATGTGTGTCAACTTGGCTAGATCATGATGCCCAGTATTGTGTGGTTGTCCACCATTTTGTGATCTGATGTGATTATCCTATGTGTTGTAAATCCTAACCTCTATGATGTTAATGAGGCAGGATTAGAGGCAGTTATGTTAATGACGCAGGACTCAATCTACAGGATTAGGTTGTATCTTGAGTCAATCTCTTTTGAGATATAAAAGATAAAAGTGAGCAGAGAGGAGAGGGACCTTCTACCACTAAGAAAGATGCACTGGGAGTGGAGTGCATCCTTTAGACCTGGGGTCCCTGCGCTGAGAAACTCCTAGATCAGGGGAGGATTTATGACAAGGACCTTTCCTCAGAACTGACAGAGAAAGCCTTCCTCTGGAGCTGGCACCCTGAATTCAGACTTCTAGCCTCCTAGACTGTGAGAGAATAAACTTCTGTTTGTTAAAGCCATCCACTTGTGGTATTTCTGTTATAGCAGCACTAGATAACTAAGACAGGGGCCTTTGCTTTAAGTTCAAGCTGACTCGATGACAATGTGTTTAGTTTTTGGTTTGCTTTATGTTAGACTCAATTCATGTCAGTGTGGAAGAGGCAGGATGTGAGCTTAATTCAACAAACATTAATTGAACACCTGCAAGGGAAGGCACTGTGCTGGGACAGGGAGATTGAAAAAATGAGTCAGACCTGGCCCCTGTCCTCAAGGAGTTCACCATTTAATACAGTCTGTGCTGCAAAGCATATGCCTGGCTCATGGTAGAGACTCCATGTTTATTGAATGGATTAATATGAATGACTAGAAAACTGTGGAAGTGATGTAAGGCTGCAAAACCATAGGCACACAGTGAAGCCCATTAAAGCTGCCATCAGCAGCAGCAGATCTCACAGCCATTAGATGGATCTAAGGACCTGTAAATATAAATAATGCTTTGTTTTAAACCATTTTATGTAACTAAAAGGAATTCAAGACAATATAAATTCGAACAATATATTAAGAAAATGAAGAACTGCCATTGTTTGCAAGTCCTTGCCTGAAATCTAAACTCCTTGCTCTGGAATTCAAAGCCTTTTAAAGTCTGACCATACCCCAGTCTCCCACTATTCTCCTTTATGTGTGGAACAGTCACCAAGGCAGACAGAAATGGCTGTTAAATATTATGAAAAATGCATGGATTTGGCTACATGGTTCCATATAATGTCTTTCAGTAAGGCAAGGATGGAGTCTATCACTGCTTTGAGGATACAGATGAGGAGATATGCCCCAGTCATCCTGCCTGCCCCTGCTTTGACCCCACTGCCAGGTCCCCAAGACCAAGAAGAATGTGAGGGTCAGAGCATTTTTGAGCAGGTCTGCAAGGATACACACCAGATTTCATAGTGATGTCTTCTAGGGAGTGGATTTCTCAGGGGAGTCCTTTTTTATATTATATACTTCTTTTGCTTATGTTTATATATTTTTTAAACAAGGAGTTTTAAAAACAGAAGATAAAATAACTCAAATGATTTTAAAAAGGATGTTAACACTTGGGAGACAGTTTGGACGAATAAGTCAAGTGAATCAGGAGGTAACAAGGAGTGGATTATATCTTTGTCCTCTAAACCATCATTTAAGTTGTAATTGCTGTGGAGTAATTCCAACTCATGGCAACCCCATGTGTACAGAGTAGAACTGCTCCATAGGGTTTCCAAGGCTGTGACTTTCGGAAACAGATTGCCAAGCCTTACTTTTAAGGTGCCTCTGGGTGGATTTGAACTGCAGACCTTTTGGTTAGTATTCTAGTGCTTAACCATTTGCACCACTCAGAGCTCCTCATCACATAAGTAGGATGTAGGAACTACAAGAGGCTCCAGGTTCAGAGGCAGAGGAAGAAGGAAGAAATTAAGACCAACTTCGGGGTCTCATTTTCTCTAAATGGTCTTCTAATGAACATAGCCTACTCCAGGGAAGACTAGTAAATATATCACAAAAGATGTTTAAAAGAAGTGAAGGAAAACTTTCGTGTATGGAAGAACTTATTAGTTCCTCCTGCAGAGATCAGAGATATCTTTTATGGTCAGATGGATTCTTCACGTTTGAAGAAGAAAATGCAGAACATCCGAAATTTCTTTGATCTCTACATTTTCCTAAAAGCACAACTTTCAGGCTCCCCTCCCCCTTCTTTTTCCATCTGAAATCATGCAACGCACTCTCACACACATACTTTTACCAGATAGGCATCTAATGACGTCTGGATTCCATCAGAAAGCCTGGAACAGCGACACCCAAATCCTCCTGTGCTTTGAGAACTATGCACCCACCTGAAAGTGGAACACTCAGGTTTTGTAACACTCTTCACCACGGGATTATTACACAAATCTCTCCTTCTGAACTCCGGTACTCCTGCTGAGTGGTGTAATTGTGGTCATATGCCATTTATTCTGAGCTCCTACCCAGCCAACTTCAATATGTAATAACTCATTTACTGAAACTTGTAAACAACCCCAGCACTCAAGCAGCCAAATGGAAAGCTGCCTTGACCACATGCTCTAGAAGGTGTAATAAAGTCTTGATTCTGCCTTTTGGCTTGGCAAAAGCAGTTGGGAGAATGCCATGACACTAACTTGGGAACACTTATGACATCTGGGTTCTAGATGGCTGCCACTGCTGTCTAGGCTAGCACTATTGGAATCCTGGACTCCAGTAGAAACATACAGGAAATGACATTGCCACACTTTTCTCCTTATAAAGGCAGATAATTTATCCAGGAATTACCATCTTCCGAGTTTCCCTAGGGAGGAGCCAATGGTTAAGCCAGCAGGATACAACTGGAGAGAGGGATATAAAAACAGCTTCCTCTGACCCTAAGGTCCAGTCACAATGCCATCTCTTCAAGAACAATGCTACATAACAAGTTAAGGCTTAGATCATCACTTATGGGAAAGTACAGAGGACATATTACTCCAGAGAATTCTCTGAAAAAGTCCAGCTTATTCACCAATGGGAGGAAGTCACAGAGTGGTGCAAGGGACACATATTCACTAGGAGTTAGACCTGAGATCTAGACCCACTGGAGGTCCCACCAGTCTACCGGTATCGTCCCTTCGTGTGTCCAAAACAGAATAGTCTCTCTCAAACTTGCTCCTCCTCCTGTATTCGTGGCTCAGTGATTGGCATCGCTGTCGTCTCAGAGTTCTTTGGTTCCTTCCTCACCTTTACTCCAACCTGCCTAGTATCCTGGATTCTACTTAGGTAGCTTCTCCTGCCTGCTTTTGCATCCCCATTGCTGCTTCATCTGGACTACTGCAGTATTTATTCAGCGAACACTTGCTGTGAGCCTACCAAATGCCAGGCCCTGCCTTGGCTCTGGGCATGCAATGGAGAGCACAACAGTCCCTGCCCTCATGAAGCTTATATTCTAGTGGAGGAAACAGACCAAAAACAAAACAAAACAAAAAAAGAACTAGTTGTGAATTATGTAGTTACCTTAAAAGAAACAGAGAAAAGGCAAAGAATAACAGGTACGGGCAGAAGGACTGACTTTAGATGGCAAGACACCTTGCCTTTTCTTCCACGTATCCTACACAAAGGAGCCCTGGTGGCACAACTGGTTAAGCACTGGCTCCTAACCAAAAAGTTGGCAGTTTGATCCTACCCAGAGGCTCTGTGGGAGAAAGAACTGGTAATCTGCTTCCATAAAGATTACAGTCAAGAAAACCTTATAAGGCAGTTCTTCTCTGTCACAAGGGGTCGCTATAAGTCGGAACTGACTTGATGGCACCTAACAATAACAACTTACACAAAGCTCCCCTACTATACTCTCCAAATACAGTTACCTTTCCTTTCCCTTTGCCTGTCAAAAGTCCAGTTCAACTTTCACCACTCAGTTCAAATGCCACCTCATCATAAAACCTTTTCTGATCCTTCTTAGCTCCTCTTCCTCTTTTCAGTTCCTTTCTTATGGCATTCATCTCATGTTATTTTATAGTCATCTGCGTATGTGCTTAATATCCCTAACTAGACTACACATGCGGGGAGGGAGGACATCAGTTATCAACAGCTTTGTCTCTGCCCTCCAGCACCTTAAAACTCAGTAGAGACTTTAAAAATAAATAAAAGGTTTTTTTTTGGGGGGGGGGATGGGGGGAGAATGTGGTTAATGCCACTATTGGCCATAACTATTTCACAGGGTTGTTATGAAGATCAAATAAAATTCAAGATGTGAAAGTGCTTTGAAAAAGAAAAAAAAAAGGACTGTACAAATAGAAAGTGCTTTGTAATCATAATTATAGCAAACAGCACCCTGGGAACCTGCCCACACAGGACAGCTAAGAATGGAGCTGGCTTTCCCAACCCTGTGAAATAGGCAAGCACAAAGGCTGCACGTCTATTTAAATAGCAAAATCTTTCAGGTTGTGGCCTTGATTTTCTGTTAAGTCTCCTTTTTTCCATCACCTACCTTGTGATCACAAAATGAAAACATGTATGCTGAAGCTTGGATTTGTGCAAACAGCGTGGGTAAGAGTCAGAATGCCTTCGTTTGAATCCTTGCTCTGCCACCTCCTAGCTGTGTGACCTGACAAATTACTCTGCCTTAGATTCCTCATGGGGTTGTTGTGAGGATTAAATGATTAAATAAAATACATGTGGAACAGTACTGAAAACAATGCCTGGTACAAAGTAATTATCAGTTATAGTAATCCACTGTGCTTCCTGGTACGGGGTACATTAGAGAGGTTCCTGGGAATTAATCTTGATTGCTGTCGTACAGCGCGGTGGTGTACAAAGAATACTCCACGGAGGGGACAAGGAAGTGGGGAGGGGCTGGTGCAACAGGCCCTGTGAGGCCAAAACAATGTGAAGCTAGTGAGAGAAAGTTTGGCTCCTCTGAGAGATGTTTAGTACCTGTCACTCAAATGGAAATGACTGGCAAGAGGCTGAGAGGTGCACTAAAAAAAGAAAGCCAGAGAAGGCCTCCTCTAGTTTTCTTGGGCCTTCATCTATTTAATGAAAAGAGGTTGAGAACACCATAGTTCTGTACTGTATGAGCCAGACTCTAGCACTACTACTGCAAGAGTGAACCTGAGCTGCTTGTTTTCAACCCAGTGAGGGGTCAAAGAAGACAACAGTGAATCTGAACAGTTGTTCCCCACCATCAGGGAAAGATGGGACCATCCTTTTTTTCAAATCTCCAACTACCACACTCCCCTAAAATACGTTTTTCCATTGGAAACAGACTGGAGCACAAGCAATACTGTTAGGCTGTGTCAGTCAAAAGTGACCTGGATACAGGCAACAAAGGGAAATGCCACATTTAGGGTGCGGGGGTGAGAAGAGCAGCCCACCGAGGGTTCTTTGAATGAATACGGCTGTTTCTCAAAGGGTTCTGGGTGGAAGGCAGCTTGCATAGAGATACCCCTCCCTGAGAAACCTCAAACGGAGATGGCTATACCTGTTGGCTTAGAAGAGCTGTTCAGGGTTCCCTCTTAAAGCCAGAGACACCCAGAATAAGCCAGAGCCTCCCTGCAAGAAGTCAGGAATGTGGTTTCCAATGCAAACAGAGACTACGTTGTAGAAATAGTGCTGGAGCATGTCCAAGCACTCCTTATGTCCCTTGAGTCATTTGGAAATGGTTAACAAATGGGTTGGACACCTGGACTGATAACCCCTGAAGGGGATTTCCACAGAAACCCTACAGTGTAAAATCATCATCCTCTTCCTTCCCAAACAATGCAATTCAGTCACACCCTCTCTGAAGTGTGCCTCAAAGATTCCAAATTTCTCAATCTGCTTCTAGGCTTCCTAAGTTAGAGCAGCAACTGCTGCTGACACGAAAAACAAGGAGCCAAGCAACTCTGTGCTTTTTAAAAGAGTTTATTTTAAATTAAGAGGAGCAGATGTCTAATGTTTGAAAAAGCCACACATTTGTGGATTTGGCTGACAAACCCTCTGAACTGCATTTCATATCTGTTCCCATAGAGTCAGCCAGCCACTTGCAACTGACTCACTCTCTGGGCCATCGTTTGGGCCAGTCTCCTGACTACAGAATTAGAATTCCAGATCTCAAATGACTCCAGGGTGTTTGGGTGAAGACTGGGGGCCATCTAAAACATTTTTTCCCCGTTTAATTTAATTGTATCAACAACCACAGAGCAAACTGCAAGGCTAGTGGGTCAAAGCGAATGAGCAAACAGTTGGCACCTGCCTATCCCAGCACCACACAATTCTAAAGGCAGTATGTAAGCAGCTGTCCAGAACAGGTTTTTGTATAATCCCTTTTAAGAGTACTGGTTAAATATGCAAATATGTGTAAGTTATTTGCTGCCATTTAAGGCCTCACCCCCAAGGCAAACACATTACCTCAGGTGAACTCAGCTTTGCTGGGGAGGGAGGGACAGGAACTCAAGCCTCAGTCTAACAGACACAAATGACTTTTCAATTACTTCTGGAGTTTAAAGTACACTGTGTGCTTTCTTTTCTCATCTTTGAGAATAAAAGGAACAACAAAAAAACTTTCAGATGCAACAGTTTTGTGCAGCATCTCATCTACCATGTTCTGTAAATACCAGAGAAGCTTTGATCAATGTGAGTTAGAGATGGAATGTTACTTGGCTTTTAAAAATTGGTATTAAACTCCTGCTTTAGAGTGTTTTAATTTTTGTGAGCACATAGAACCTAACAAGCTATGAATAAAATGAACCCGTTTTTTAAAATTTTCTAATCGGAATGAGACTTGCAGGTATACTGAGGAAGATCCTGCATGCCATCCAATGAAATTTTTTTTTGTTTAAAACCTATTTACTCAGCAAATCTTACTGGAGAAGAGTATAGATGGAGCTTTTCTAACAAGGTATTAAAAGCAAAAATTTTAATACAGCATTCTTTATAATGAAAATAAATTAGAAAATGCCAACATTTTAATATGTTTCTTGGATTTTTTTCCTTTTTGTTCTAACTTCTTTAGTAAAATGTTCTTTTTCACTTACTCTACAAGTCTGATGGATAGAGTATCTACCCCCAAACAAGGAAACATATGTTGACAGCATTAAAGCATTTTTGTTTTAGGTAGTGAATACATTGTGACATTTTTGCATGTGCATCAGATGCTCTTTGATGAATTAAAAAATGGGAATATTGTAGCATTTTGTTATCTGATTTAATCCTTAAGACAAGCTGTCAATATCTCTATAGATGAATCATTTCTCAAAGTCACAAATAACATGTAAATGGCAGAAATCTGAACCATCATTAACATGGATTGTTGTACCTAGAGGCAAATGAGTTTCAAAATATGGGGAAAGCTTTTGGACACTAAGTTTGGGAACCTCTATGAGCTCCTTACACATGGGTCTGTCTGAACACGATTCACCCCAGAGTAAGCCAGTTGTCACTGACTCAAGGTGACCCCATGTGTGTCAAAGTAGAACTGTGTTCCACAGAGATTTCAATGGCTGATTTTTTTCTGAGGCACCCCTGGGCAGACTCAGACTCCAACAGTCAACCTTTTGGTTAGCAGGTGAGCATGTTAACCCTTTGCACCACCCAGGGACTCCTCTCGCAGAATACAAGGGGGCAATCAGTATTTAGCTCACTGCATTATTTGTACTCAAGGAGTCACTGCTGAATTGAATGATTAGTGAAAATAGAAAATCCTCATGCTGTCTTGAGAACCCTATAGAGCCCGGTAACACACTGGGAGCATAGGCTGAACTTGTGTAGGAACATTCACTACTATATTTGCTTAGATAACTAGTATATTTAAGAAATTATCTGCCTTGTCTGTTTCTGGTATCTTGGAGAATAGGGATACCACTGCTGTGAAGTCGATTCCAACTCACAGTGACCCTATAGGACAGAGTAGAACTGCCCATAGTTTCCAAGGAGTGGTAGATTTGAATTGCTTTTGGTTAGCAGCCATAGCCATAGCTCTTAACCACTTTGCCACCAGGGATCCAGAGAATGGAGATAGGTGGCTGTTATCCAAATAAAGTTAGCCTCCCTTTCTTCTAAATCAGCCTCACCCCCCAAATTATTTATATATACAGGGAATACAGAAAACAGTGGGAAAGCTGGATACTGCACATTTTCATGTTACATTAATTGCTTTAAAGGAGATGGCTCCTCAGTGCTTAATAGTGTATAAACTGTTGATGTATATTCTACTGCTTGATGGTCACTGAGTTGGATATGACAAAACATGGCAGACATGTAAGGCACAAAATGAGACTTATACAAAGTAGAGATGAAATCAGAAGGATTCCCGGGCCCTTTTTTTTATTTGCAGTAATGTCAAATCATCCATTAGCAAATTTCCTGGTCTCCCATCAGCTGGAATAAACAACATATATCTGCGGGCTCACATGAAGAAGAAAAAAACAGACACATAAAAACAAAAAAACCAAAACCAGAATAGAAGGATACCACCATGCTCCAGTTGGAATTTACCTGACACTTAATGGAAGAAAGGAGGACAGCTGCTCTTCCATTTGTTTTTAAAGCAAATTCATTTGAAAGATAGTGAAAAAATGGTCATCATAAGACAAATGCATTGATCACTTAAGACTTTCAGCCTCGGAAACCAAGCTTTTCTTTCTCTAATACTCCTACCCTACCCTAAAATAAATTTACCAGTAAATCCCAAAGATTTAGTGAAAACAGTACAATTCATACTTGCTTTCCTCTTTTTCTTCAGACAAACACCAAATGCAGGTGAAAGAGATGAAACACAACAACGAGAAGCTGACTCAGAAACTTACACTAAATAAAGAACTCTAAGAAATCTAAAAATTATTTTGGTTAAAGTGAATCTATTTAAAATAAAGCACTTGGATACTGCTTTTCAAGTTAGGTCAAGTAACAGTTATACTGCTAAAAAGTCTGCGGGAGGTAAGGGAGGAGAAAAGATTGTTAAAGCAATAACCTTTTAAAAATCCACAAGGCAGGTTACTTGTCCTTTCACAAAAGGCAGGTTATTTGTCATTTATTTATTTGTTGGAGTCATGGAGACTATCCTAATTTTCCATACAGTCCGTCCTCTTTCTATACTGCTACAATATTGTGACATAAAGGACTCACAGTGCCACTAAACATAAAGACCAGAGCTACTCATCTTAAACCATGATGCTAAGTGATGTTTGAAAAATGGGCACAACATTTGATATGGATGGTCAGATGTAAGATACCAAAATGTCAGACAGCCCATCGACTGCTGTTGCCATGAGATTCAACAGTCAACATCAGTCTGATAAGCTACCCGACAAGATGGTACAGCCATGCAGATGTCACGACGGTAGGCAAAACAAGCAGACATTCAGGGAGGATTTGATAAAACAAATTAGGCATTTCTGCCCTTTTGAGATTAAACCCAATTCTATTCTCAACACAATGTTGGTATCAATTTTCCTAAAGGAAGAAAGTGAAATTGTTTATTTTCCTTCCAAGCAAATAAAAATGACCAGGTTCAACCAGTAACATCCCAAAGGAAAAAAACCACAACACATAATTATAAAACACATAAGGCAGGAAAATTGGGTTACATACAAAAGTAAATTTCTGTATCTATTAAAATTAGAGTACATGCTGAGCTAAAATTAACACAGATATGAGAAAATGTGGTTAAAAAAAGATTTTCTCTTTATCACCTCTCTGGTTTTCAGAAACAAAGAAATCCCATTCTAGACCAATCCCAGAGGCTGCCATTGCAGCAGTGTGTAGCTGCCAGATTCCAGCATAACAAAAGATGCTAGGGTGCTGGCTCTTACATGCAAATAAAGGAAGGATTAAGAAATCCTGGTGGTAAGTGGATTGGGAAAGGCTGCTGTTTAGTTGGTAGAAGCTAAAAGTAAAAAATCAAAACGCTCAAGAAAACGGACACAATTTTGGAATGATCAAAGGTGTCTTTATAAAGTTTTTTCTTGACTTCATTCTAAATATACAGAATGAAAAATGGCGTCAGCTCATTTGTGAGACACCAACCAGATTTTCCTTATACTGTCTCAAAATTTAAAGATCAGTTTCCCCAGAGGGTGTGCAATGCATTATAAAATGGCCTTTTTTAAGGGTAGGAGGGGATGAGTTGGGCAGGATGGCATATTAAATTTTACCATGATAGACATGCAAGACTTATCCAACCTAGTGTAATTTATATACATTTTGATGAATTAGAAATAAGAAAGCAATCATTTGGACAAGCTAAAAAGCTTGACATATTTATGAAGTTTTTTTTTTGGATGGCGGGAATTCTCTAATTGTACTATGTGGGCCTTTTGAAAGTAACAAACTGAAGGCCAGTTTCTGTTAAGTTTGCTGCTGAGCATCACACTCCACCCTAATAAAATACAACTCGGATTGAGTTTAGGGTGGATACCTTACCTTAACACACAAAGGAAGAGTATGTCAGTGCAAAGTATGGACTAAACTGATTTCAGGAAGAAATTTTTAAAAATTGATACAGGTTGGAAAAGGGAATTTTCTTCCCTGGCTTGGAGTCCTCCCAGTGTAAGGCAGGACCCATCCATTCTAATTCCTGCAGTTAAAAACTTTCTCTGCTTATTTAGTTTTTTCCTCTGAGTTCAACCGCTGCTGGATTCGTCTGGCATAACTTTGTGCCATGGAGTTAATGATGGACAGGATGAAGTAACACACCATGACAATGACCAACTTCTCAAACATCCAGGACAACCAGTTTTCTCCCTGCAGGAATAAATGCAGAACAATCCAACAAGAAAGGCTTCATTAGTCCAGTAGTAAAAAGGGGATCATCTATAATGTGTTAAGGAAAATAAACAGAACTTGGAACTTATAACAACTGACAAGGCCTAGACAATTAAACATGAAAAGGTTGAGCCCCTAGCCTACCCTGAAATCTACATGAGGTCTCATTCAGGCCCTTTTATACTGAGCTATAAAGATTTAACTTTGTTGGATGTAAAATTAGTGTTGATTCATATAGTTTGGAATGGGATGCGTGTGAGGTCATCTCTTGCCTTTTACTATGACAAAAGAATAAAGTCACTGATTAAATCCTTGGGTTTCTAAGGACAGTAGCTCCGTTTTCTGAAGTTGTCAAGCAGATTCTTGCAGAAAAGTGTCCAGAGTATTTTTTTTCCTTTGGTATTGGGACAGCTTTTAAAATATAAATGTATCTCTTTCTTAAGTCATGTTTGGTCAATTGAGGGCAGCAAAGGGCCAAATGAAGAGTGTAAGGCCATTAAAACACACACACACAACTGTGCCTCCTTCTAGTTTCCTATTTCAGGTTATTGCTTACTCATCCTCTTCTAGGCATTTCCCCCGCCACAGAACTGTTTACAGAAAAGGCAGGTTTAGGGTCTTGTCTAAGGTTTTTAAGCTCAGCTATGTTAAGCAACTTGGCTTATAAAAAATAATTATTCTCCCACTTTCCCAAAGAAAAATAGAGCAAAAATGAAAGGAGATATTGAAGTGATTTCAGTAAATTCAATACTTTGTTATGCTGTAAATTTGAACTTTTAAATCTATTTGGGGAGCATACCCTGAAACCTAATTTCACATCTGTTAATAAATCACTTAAAGTCAAACCAATAACTGTTCTACTTAACAGACCCATTATTTTCCATTAACCCTACCCTTGTTTTTAGGAGATGCCTCAAATAGAACCTATATTTTCTGTTTTAAGACTAAGACTCCCAGCAGAGAGTAAACAGAGCCTCAAATTCTGTTAAGACTGGGAAACAAAACTCACTCTTATCAGTCTAAAAACGCGAATGAAAGTCATTTCAGCCTGAAACTGCCCGGGGGGGGAGAAAAAGAAAATGGAACAAGGTCTCACCTGTGGGGTGCCCATTTCACTTTTGTGGTGAAGCTTTTGCCGCTGAGCTTCCAGGTATTCCTGGAATGGCTTCTGCAGAGAAGGACCTATGCCGGGGACAGCACTGGAAACAGGGTAGAGTAGCCCAAGGAAGAAGATACATTGGGGAAGAAAAGCAGAAAGAACGTTAAAGAAAATAAACTTACCGCCTGGACTCAAAAAGCAGGGATTGGATAGAAGGAATAAAATGCAACAATCAGCACAGCCGCAAGATTCTGTGAACTCTTTTTCACACATACAAATTCTTCTTTCAAATACCCCTTAAAGAGGAAGAATCTCTCCCACCAAGTCTGGGGGAAGCTAAGAGCTGTAAATCAGGAGCCCCTTCTAACAGAAGAGTTCGTCCTCAGAGAGAGGCCAGACTGAGCTGATGCTGTACACTGGAGTGGTACAAAGAATAAAATGAATGACTTCTGAGAAGTCCCACATTTATCACCACCAGTTCCTGTAAGAACTGGTTTGAACCGATTAATAAGGAAATGACTTATGCTTGTGTCATCCCAAGTTAAAAAAGAAACTGCCCGCCCTCTCTCTGACTTGTCCCATCTTCTCAGAGGGGGCGGTCCTTTCTCAATCTAAATCCTTATTAGGACAATCTGTGCGTCATCCTTATCCAAAAAGAATGCATTAGCAAATTTGTGAGGCACCTCCCACTAGTCAGAAGTCAGTGATTAACAAAGGAACAAAGAAGGAACTATGAACCTTGAATCCCTTTCATGGTTTATGGTAGATGATTTGCACAGAAACTACAGTACATTACTAAACAACTTGTTCTGAGATGACTGGGATAGTGATCTCCGATAAGTTTATGTACTCGGAGCTCTCTCTCACCCAGAATACGTGGAGGCAGTGCTGTGAAACCGGTTTGGCAACTGTAGCTACCTTATTGCCATTTTAGTCATGCTTGCAGCCTTTTTTTAAAATGGTAACTTGGGGCAACTCAGAAAATCAAACATCTCTATTTTCTCATCTGTCACACTAGGGCTAAAAGGCAAATGAGTCCAATTTCCTGGGGCAAGCAAAACGTATTCCAATATATATTTGCAACAGTGTCCAATGCTCTGCACCTCCTCCTTTTAGAACAATTCGGTAGCTGCTTTCTGTTATAAAAAGTAGGGGAGTACAGGAAGAGAAAATTTTGCTAGTGTATTTGTCAGAAACTAACAAACTCATAACTCCTGGCTGAATTTTTTCTTTGATCCTATTATCTGTTAACCGCCAAACACTTAATGCAGTCCCTACTATGTGTCTAACACTCTACTAGATGCCATGGTAAAATACAAAACTGCGAGAAATAGTCCATGCCCGCAAGGAACTTAAAATCAGTATGGGGATTAAACACATATGCATGCACAAGCACACACACACAACATGATTTGTGAACAAAATATTCTACAATTCAATATTAAATCTCTTGGTACAGATGATATAATGTGGGGCGAGGTTGTCAAAAAGGTCCTTTAAGATGACAGATACGTAAAAAGGCCTGAACAGACACAGGCAGTAACGGCAGTTGCTGCACTGATTAGAGCCATTTGACAGAACCCCAAGGATGAAGGGCAAAGTTTCTTGACCCACAGTCTCTCTCTGACTGACTTTTAAGTGACCTTACATAAGTGAGGTAGACGAGAAGAGGGGTAGTGTAGTCTGAGCTCTGCGGCTGTTTATCAGCAATGATTCTGACTACAAAGGGGCAATAACAGTACAAACTTTCTCTTTAGAAGAGAGGTATTCCCTGTGTCACTCAAGTAATGGGAAATAATCTTTCCTTAAATCATACAGGTGGGAATGCAAATAGCTCACGTATTTACACAAGGAATAGACCACATGAATATATAAAAAAACAATTCCAGCAAAATACACACACTGAAAGACTGGCTTTGAGAATGCAGATTTTTAGAAACTTTCCTTCAGAAATTGATTCATTCACCTTGAAAACAATACTCCATATTAATCATTTTAAACTCCCATGCATAGCCATAGTTAAGCCATTATTTAAGGAGAAAATTTAGAACAAAGACCAAATGTTAGAAAGGTTCTAATTTTTTGTTGTTGGTGGGAAACGGGGAAGGGACTGGCAACAATCATTGTAGAATTCCTCCGAAACAGTTTGCCATGGTAAGAAGTCCCATTAAGAGCTACACTTTAGCTGGTAAACATATGTCATTATACTTTCAAAGAATTATCTTGAAGCTAATGCTGCGATTAATTGTCAAGGTGCTAATGTGTTATGGTGTTGGCGGAGAATATTGAATATACCATGGACTGCCAGAAGAATGAACAAATCTGTCTTGGAAGAAGTACAGCCAGAAAGCTCCTTAGAAGCAAGGGTAGTGAGACTTTGTCTCGCTTCCTTTGGATATGTTATCAGGAGGTGCCAGTCCCTGGACAAGGACATCATGCTTGGTAAAGCAGAGGGTCAGCAAAAAAGAGGAAGACCCTCAGCGAGATGGACTGGCACAGTGGCTGCAACAATGGGCTCAAACATAATGATTGTGAGGATGGCTCAGAACTGGGCAGTGTTTCGTTGTGTTGTGCATGGAGTCACTATGAGTCGGAACTGAGTGGACCTAACAACAAGAACAGCAACAACAATGTGTTACGTGCTTTGGGGAGTTTTTGGTGGTGTCTATGTGTCTGTGGTGTTATGTGTCTACAAAGTTTTCCATGAGATACTAGGAAAACAGTTGAAAATAGAAAAGAGGTTAACGTTTTAATAGCAACATATTAACCAAAACTGTCATGAACAAATACCACATGATCTGAATAAATCTAAAAAAGTTTATTTACATTCGAAATCTAGGTATTCAGTGTTACACAGCCAATTATTTGCCAGATTTTCTTAATCTTTCTATATTCATCAAAATTTTAGTTACTTCTATTTTCATGTCTATTTCTACAAACAATGGCTTATGCTACAGATGCCTCAGCTAATACAAAACACTCTTTTACTACAGTTTTCTTAATTATCACTAAAGCTATTTTAATGTAGCTTTAAATGTAGCTGTAGTGTGTAACGGACAAGATAAAGACTGAAATTACAGCTGCTACCCTTAATATGTATTTAAGGCAAACAGTAATATCAGCTCACGACCTCATCTCTCAAGTTACTTTCAGGCAGCAGACAGAAGCAAGGGTCCATTCTGACATTTAAGATTAACTTAAGGTACATACATGGGTGGGAAATAACTTGCACCACAGTTCAGTGGCTTTTTATAGTTGGCTTAGGAAATAGCCTAAATGCCATTCTCTGAAAGCCATTAAATTCAGAGCAACCCTGTGCACCTGGCTAAGGACTCTCATCTCAGCCCACAGTGAGTGGGTGAAGTCCTCCATCTGCCATTAGGTGCTGATTAAAGTTCAAAGAATTACAGTCTTGTGATAGAGACGAACATAAACTAGAAGGGGCACAAACACAGGACTATTTTTCAGTCAATGGTTGGACTAAAAATATACTTAAACTAGCCTTGTAAATAGCCCCTTGCCCTAGGTGAGTAAACTTAAAAAAAAAAGGAGAAAAAAGAAAATTGATCTCATCTGCTTTTTCTTGCTGTGGATCATCAATATGGTGAGTAGAAAAATTTTTGTGGATAGTAAAATCTTGGTATCTTCTTGGCACATATGAACATGTTTCAAATACTATACTTCATCAAAAAACATATTCCCAACAAATTACTGTATTTTTTTGTTACTGATTTTGGGAAAACAAACACACAAACCAACCTCAGAAAATGCAAACAAAACAAAAAAGAAAAAAAATGCAAAGAAAAAGCACAGAACTCCAAACCAACCCAGAACTCAAAAATGGTTTCATGATGAAAGTACTTTCCCATACTTACATACCTAAGTATCTGTTAAAAGAGACCAAAGACAAATTTCTTTGCAAATTCTAATACTATTTAGCTAAAAGCCCTGCCCAATTTGCAAATTAAAAAAAATTTTTTAAAAATAGTTTTAAATACGTATATCACTCTGCTTCTGGAAAGCAAATATCTGATAAATCTGTATTTTAAAATCTCGCCATATTTACTCATAATAAATAAAGGTCTCCATTATTCTCTGTACCCACAAAAGCCAGAAAATCTTCCAGAGGAAGTGTCACAATTGGCAGAGTTGCATAGAGAGTGGGTGGAGTGATTACTCCCGTTTTTCACAATGCTTAATTTTTCATTTGTTGGTTAATCGGAGCACACACCCACTGCAAGCACGCCTAGAATTCATCAGTCATTATTATTCCTGTTTGTCAAGAGACTCCTTTCAAACTATGTAAGTCTCAAACAAATTTGCTCACTAGATACACATAAAAAAACATACCATTTGATTTACTTTGAATCTTTTCTCCATCATGGAGATAGTCATCAAACTAGGACTTGTTATTAGAATACCTAAAATTTTCCTTTAACTGTTCATGATTTTATTTGCATTTTTCCAGCTAGGTGTGTGTGTTTTGTGTTATGTGTCTCCATAAAACTAGGCACAGTGCTTAGTAAGACAGAAATAACATGAACTTAAAAAAATGATTTGCCTGGTTGGCTAAGCTCACTTTCAGAGTGTATACAAAGGCTAAGCAGTTGATTAGACAAAGCCTAAGGATATCATATGGATACGATAACATAAATTTTTATTTATAATTTATTTATAATACAGGCTCTATTCCTTTCTTGTCAACCTCTCTGAGGATCTTAGCATTAATGTGAGCATGTAAGTTACACTGGTTTTCCTGAAAAATATACTGTTTGACATGGGTTCCTAGTAAGGAGGCTACAAAGTATTAAAAGTTTGGGCACAATGATTTTTTTTTACCTTTGTTTAACTGTGTAGCACTTTGAAGTTGGGTTTTATTTAACATCCTTCTGATGACTACTCAGAAAATCTAAATACAATCTTAGAGTGTGATCAGTCAAATCTGTGAAAGCTTAAAATGGGAAAAATGTTTTTAGGATAATATTCAGGCTAGGGGTGCTATTAAAACAAAGGGAAAAGATGGGTTTAATGATATAATTCAGAAAGCATACTAGAAATCTTTTAAACTAAACTACTGGGGACACCCTTTTAAGTAACACC